TGTATGAAGTCCAAGAGCAAGGAATTTTAAGAAAGTCCTCATGAAAACTTATCTGATCTGGTGTCCAGACAACACTTATAATACCTCTGGCACTGCTGCTAGAACCACAGTTGCTCAGTATGAGAATTTTGCAGTATGAGAATTTTGCTTTGAATTCCAAATCATTACTTAGTGAAGTATCAGCGTCCCCTACTGAGTCAGCAGCTTTTAAGACTGGAGCGCCCCCTACTGGTGGCCAAAAGGCACCAACCCTCAATTTATGCTCGTTGGTGTGTGACTTCATTGTTAAAGTTTCATGAAAAATAATGAAAGCAACTATAATAACCACTTTATTCCACGACGACTCCAGTCTTTAGGGATGGATATGATACTACTTATTATTTTCTTTATTTTGACAAAATAACAAGTTGATTATCTAACTATTCAAAACTACCATCATTAGTGATATGATGCTTTTAACCCCAATGTTGTGTTAGGTCAAATTTGACAACTTTAAAAGTTTTACCTCCAAAAAATGTAGTTGACTTATCAGACTGACCTAAGATTCCATGTCTTTGTCCACAAAGAAGATTTCCTGAAAAGAAACAAGCAAAGGTTGTGGTTCTGGAGCTTGATTGGAGGTCTCGGGGACATAAGATGATAATTTCTTCATCTTGTGCGGTCTTGGTCAGGAACTGTGTCAGAAGCAAGTGTAGTTTTGGGATACTTTCCTCGGTGCACAAATAAAACATTCACTTTTGACCAGGAACACAACGTTACATTATGTGACTGTATAAAACTTTTAAATGTTTCAAAACAAACGTTCATTATAATATTGACCCAGAGTAGTCTCGAATACACAGTTTACCGTTTGATCCGATTATTTATTATAATCAATATAAGACAGAAATTATGTTTCTATAAGAACTCAAATTCAAGACATATAAGATCAGATTAATGAGATTAATAAAGTGAGAACACAAAATTGTTTGACACGAAATGAACACAACATGAGGGCTAAAGTCAGCTCATAGGTCTGTAGTCAGAACACAAAAAATGACCCAGTTTCTTTCATTGTTAAGAAATGCATGTTACAGAATAAGCATTGCATCCAGTAGGACATGCTCCCCTTCAAAGACACACTGAAACACATAAATGTGCGTTAAAGGCAAAAGTTTCTTCAGCTTCACAGTTCAGCCTCATTCGTCCTTTATCAGAGGGCTGTGGCGACCCCTACAGGAAACAACAGAAAGCAAAAGAAGATCAAGTTTGTTTTATCCTTTTCCTTGGTATCGTGGTTTGGAAGTTTATCTGTAAAAGGACAGAAAGTAGAAAGTTACTCAACCAAAATGTTAAATCGTCTAAGAGGCTGATTGGTGAGCCACAGCTGAACCAGTCGTCCTTGTGCAGACAGTTTTACTTGACAACTCTCAGCCTTCGCGTAGCGACTTTGACTTTCCTGCTTCTGGAAAAAAGGGTTTTAGTGCAGAACAATACTTTGTTCCAGGATCCAACACTCAAATAAACAAATCATAGCTCTGGTTCGCTAAATTAAGTTGTTAAACATTGATTTTTTTTTTTAATTTATTAATTCATTCAGCATTCTGTTGACTGTGTTTGTATATAATATATACACATGGGCATGGATGCCTCACTACTGCAGATCAAATCGAACTGGTTAGCTTGGTTAGGTTTGAGGCCTACAAACAACAGGAAATAACATGAATGTGTTCAACATTCAACTGAATTCAATTCAACATGAAGGGTTGAGGTGTGGATGTTGTGGAGGAAGTAAAAGGGGAAAAAAGAGTAAAACAAAGTATGCATGTAACAACTTTCATTAAGGCCGTGCCTAAATAATAAACTCCAATTTTATCTGGAATTGTGGTTAATTAATTGTGAACCTGTTGCTCCTTAAAAGGACGTCAAAGGACAATTAACCTACAATTAAACAGTAGCTCGAATCTGCTTTGGGTTATCAAAGCAAAATTCTTGCACTTGTGACCTGTTACTAATTTATATTCAGAGTGAGAGCAGCGGGCTTTGGCTTGCACGTCAGGAAGCCGTGTGAATACAAATCAGCAGTTACATAACAGTATGTAACAGAACACTGGCTGCTCTGTACAGCTCCCAAAGCAGGTATATAACACAGGACACACTGTGATATAGTGAACACATAAACTCTGGCATGCATACATTACACGTGTATGAACCTGTCATTTTAAAACCATCTGGTTTTAAAACTCTTTATTCACTAAAGCTACTGTTATGTTCACATGCATACAAATGGGCTGCCATTTAATTTGTACTTGAAGGACTATTCCTGATTATTTTGGAAAAGTGTTCGGCCTTCCTTTTGTAAAAACATCAAGTTAGGATTTTTACTTAGTCAACACTTTAAAGAATGACTGGCGCTTAAACAGTGCTCACTAGATTTTAGTGAAATTTGGGGCAACACTTGCAATGATCTTTAGGAGTTTAGACCCAATGTTTGTGGTAAAACCCATGGAAAATATTCACCAAATCCCAAGAGCAACATATCCTCCATTTTGGAACATATACTTTTCTTCTAGTTCCACCAACATCTGCAGTATGTCTTCTCTGAAGTGTAGTATTTCATTATGTAAGAGCCCAAGGGCAGATTTAGTGCTGAACTCCTCGCTACCAATGAAATGAAACGTTTTAATGTTAAAGACGCCCAGCCCTTTTACCCAAGTGTCCCCTCATGCCTGAGGAGAAGTGCATGTTCAGCCATGAGCAGAGGAAGGGTCCCCAGTCCTGACAGTTCATTTCTGTAAGCAGCAACAGCTGTAGGAAAATAGCAGACTGACAAAATAATCTGAAGAGGCTGAAAAATGTTTTTTCAGCTCTTGAACTCTCTTACACTCATCTTATAAATACACGGCATTAAAAAGGGTACATCAGGACGCAATTAAAAATTATTCTCAGTAGGTTCTAAAATTATTTAAGCACAACCTCAGATGATTGATGGTACATGATTTATTACAGTGTTATTATATATTAAAGAGAAATTCAGCAAAATGCTGAAGCAGTGAGTGAAAAACTAATTACAATCCAGCATTCAACCATTCAGTTTGCTGCAGTGCTTGGGATCATTAACTGTAGAATACTTTGGGATACAGTGTAGGTCATGGTCAGCTCATTAACCGCGAGGAGTCCAGGTCTTGTGTTTATAAAACAAATCCAAATGCACCACCCCCTGTGCTTGACAGATGACTTTTTTTTTTAAATGTCCTGATAAATATAAAGATAAAACCTTAGAACTGAAAGTGGGCTTACTTTTCTTTTCTTTTAAATGACTGTATCTTTAGAAAACAATTGCAAGCTGTTGCTTTGAAAAAAAACCGTTTTTTTTCTTTCATAAAAACTTTATTAAAAGCGTAAAATTTGCACACAGAACCCAGGACAGCTCACACTGCTAAGTAGTGCCACATGGGAATGTACAACCTTGAGACTTGATCCACAATCGCCTTCTCACTATCTCAATCAACACTTACAGCTTAAAATCTTCTGAGTTCGTTTTCCTGTGAATCAGTTCATCCCTCCAAACACAGATCGATGACAAACTAGAATTTTTCATTCTTTCAAGTACATGAAGTAATGCCTACTCTTACCACGTGTGGCTAAGTTACTCTGGAAAGTTGATTTGCCTTTCCCTACCATTTGTCAACAAAGTCTGTATGCGGTAAGCTTTTTGAGCTGTGACAATTTATTCCTTCTAATATTTCTAGTAAATACTAGAAGAAATTAAAATATGCCGGATATTATGTAGCTTATGGTCCTTTTTGTATCACGTGCAGGGCGATTGCATCAGCACCAAAACCTGCACAACCACGTTCTTGAATGGGGTTCGGTGCTGCCTTCAAGTCCTGTGGGAAATTCGACCAAAGTTTTGATGCTTGTTCAAAAAGCTAAAGAATAACTCCCAACATCTTACCTTCAATCTCCTTTTCAAATAGTATAACAATAATATCCCTCAGAAACATTTGCTTGTCTTTGATCCCGTTATTAAAAATGTTGTTGTTCTTTATCTATCCCAAAGTGGGTATATTCTTGTGTGCGCAGCAGTTTTATTTGGGTGTAAAACACGCTAAATAAAAGCTCGAGAAAGTTAAGAAAGCGAGGTAATATAGAATATATGAGCTAAGTAAGTAAATTTAAATGGTTTATAATAAAAGGCTAACAAGGTTAACTCATCTTAAGGGAATATTATAAATAATCAATAAAGAATGTCTTACAGTTGGTATATTTGGACAAATGCGTATTAATAATTCGTAGTTATTTTTTCAGTTTCATTCTTAAGTATTAGAGGTGTATTTCAGTCAAAGTGGGAGCAGTCTCACTAATTTCCTTTTGTAACAAAAACAGAGGACGGATCCCGGCTCCTCAAGAGGCTGCCTCGTGTGGAATTTTGTCTTAATTCCACACACATCCTTCCTTATGTCGACGCGCTGTATCCTGAACGCAGCACCGATTGCTATGACTACTTGTGTTAACCAGTGCATCAGAGGCACACGCCTGTGAGTGGACCAATCAGAGCCTCCGATGTCATGCTATGCCAGCAGTGACATAGAAGGGTGGGGGTGTGAATCTAAAACCGGTCCCACATCAGGAAACCCGAATAATACCGACAGGACTCACTCTAACACAGAACAACCTGCTGACTCCATCTGAATCACATTCCATCATGTCTGAGTTTATCTCTGGGTGAGTGAACTATTCATACCTTCCTTTTGTATTCGTATTAAAGACTAAAGACATCTGTGTGTGATTAGAACTACTCGTGTAGGCAGACTCTATTTATGATGTATTAATCCCTCAAATACCAAATACTCGCACCTCTAGCATACGTTTTCTGTGTGGAGGCTGGATTAACTTTGTGTAGTCCATCACCGGGTTTCTATTCTGTTGAATGTGTATAGCTGCTTCTGTCGAACATCAATAAGGAAACAAATATCCTCAAACTGCTTAATTACGGTGGTCCTGATTTAAAAAATAAAAAATAGATAAATAAATACACTGCCTGGGGCTTTAACATCTCTCCGCTCCGCTGGCAGTTTTCCTGAGTTCTTCCGCAGTCTTTGAACGCGCAATTACGCGCGGAAGAGCTACAACGTGCCCACTGGCACTGATGGATGGGGCGGAAAAACCCCACACGAGATCCTCCGTGACGTCACTGAACCCGCTGTCCCATTACTGGCACAGGAAGGTGGTTTATTCACAGTGAACACACACTGTAATCTCCTCGTTGCCGTAATGCTTCCTTCATGTCGCAGTTTGTTTCATTTGACCACATGTGGGCCCAATGAGGTGTCCGTGAGTCAGCTACAGCCTCCACCACCATCACATAAAAGTGTGGGCTGGGTTAGTGACGGAGCGCACGTACCACTTTGAAAGAGGAAAAGAATGAAAACATTGGAAACGATTGAACAGAAAGATTAGAACATGCTTTTTGTTTGTTTTATTCTGTTTTTTAAATGTTGAGCGCGTAAAAAAGAACAGATCTTCACTTTCCCTCGATTTCGTTTTTTTTTTTTATACCTTATATAAAATAAGTATATACTGCCATTATTATAGTGCTTTTTTAGTACACATTTCACTGCGTGTTGTACTCAGAACTATGTATGTGACAAATAAAGGATCTTGGATCTTGAATCTTGTCCTGCTTAAAACACCTGATCAAAGTAGCATCATTAATAGACCCATTCTACCACCTGGATTTTTCCAACTACCGCGAAGCTTCTTTCTGGACGAAAAAGAGGGTCTTTAAAGGGGCTTTAGGGGGTTCAAAGGGCGCGATTAACTCCCAAACTCCTCCAGAGTCTTCAGTTATTCTTGTGGTAATTACACTGTGGTGATTTTAATTACAATAGCTCCACTTGGGTGGGTGAGTGGGGGAAGGGTTGGGATGTTTCGTTACCACTAATGAAATGATTTAAAACACATGTGATATTTAAAACTACATGTGATATTTCCATTGGTGATAGGCATCCACTCTACAAATCAGTGCCTTACCATATGTGGTTAAGGCCTCTGCATCTACTGCATAGGATGAGGGGGGTGGCCAGAGGGCAAGCATGCAGTGAAGCTAATTTGGCCATACGTGGTGTGTAACAAGCAGAATAAACAAGTTCTCTAATGCTATCTTGCTGAGCCCCTTTTTATGCTAATATTCAGCTTTAATAAGACACTTCCCGAGTCTTTGTTAATGGCTTATATATCGGATGAGCCTGTTAACAGCTCACTTTGATCCGGTTAAAGATAAAGTGTTTGTAGAAAAGAGCACAGACAGGTTAAACAATATTTAGTTTGCTTTTGATTAAACTATTTGCTTTTGGGGTTGTTTTTAAGGTTTTATGTTATCTCATTGGTTCTATTTCATGTGGAACAACCCAGTGGCTGTAATCAAGTGGCTTTACAACATTTTATTATTTTAAAAAAACGTAGCCATCCTCAGGAAATTAACAGGGTTATAAGTAAAGTTAAAGAGCCGTGCTGGTGGTGATCAGAGCACAGAAGGCAGAAAACCGTCAGTGTTGATGTGAGAATTGACTCCTCAAATGTACAGACAAACAAAACTGAACAATAAAAGGTGCATCGATGTTTGGTTGAGAAACATTTCATTCTGTTTACATCACACAGGCATTTCACTCAACCACCTGACCGTGACACACTGTATGTTTGCACAATAACAGGATATTAAGTGTGTTTGTACATGTCTGTTCAAGACATTCATTTCAGCTCAGGAACTGTACAGGATACTCCTCCTAACAAATTGCATCGGCTGAAATGGCAAATCACTGTTATTTCCTGGTAAAGGAATGCTGTATGCAGTATGAATTTGTGTGTAAGAAGACTAAAGCCTCTATGTCAGACCTTTGAGATAAATACTATAAATAAAAACTGACTTTGTTTGTGTGTCCTCACATGTTAGGCCACCCCATATGGAAAAGAAATAGTAAAAACATATATGATTTACTCATGAAAGTGGCCACTTTCATGAGTAAATCATATATAAACCATATAAGGATTACATGATTTACTCATGAAAGTGGCCACTTTCTCATTACTTTCATATATTTTTTTAGTAAGTATCCAAAACATACAAGTTTCATTATATAATTTTTCAAGGGATCTTATATCTGTTTTCACTCTTGTATGCTTTTCATACAAGTTTCATACAAGACAGATTAAAAACTTTATAAGATTTATATATATCTTTTCCATATGGGACGTTCTGCTTTGAAACACTGCATAACTTCATGTTTTCATATATGTTTCTCTTGCTTTCCAGCGTCAGCTATGAAGAATGCAAGACCACAGCTGATTGGCTGCTGTCGAACACACAGGTGCGGCCGATTGTGGGAATCGTGTGCGGTTCAGGCCTGGGAGGTCTGGCTGAAATGATCAAGGACCCGCAGATTTTCAAATACAGCGATATTCCCAATTTCCCCCGGAGTACAGGTATCCACAACCTCCAGCAGTTTGGGA